ATTATTCCATTGAGACATAGAAATAATAGATGAAAACAGGAAAAAATACACTAATAGGCCTTCTTAGTGCTGACAGCTAATGCGTTAAAAAATTGCTGCAGGATGTAGAAATGCTGCAAAGCCATAAAAATTCCCTGGCCTCTCCTGATTGACTTCTCCCTGTCTGTTCCTGGTTTACCAAAACTAACAACCCTGCATACTTCATTGGACAATTTACTTATTACAAGAGAGCAGTTTTGAAAATTTCCTTGAAAATTTCAGGGATTTTGCTTTAAGCCACAGAGGGAAATCCTTGCAATTTTCAAACAAATTTTAAAATCCACTCTCTGGTAAAAAGAAAAAAAAAAAAAAAAAATTTATGCGCCATTAAAACTTTTCCACAGCTAATATTAGTAACTTTTCTTTTGAGAGCCTCTACGGGGGTGGTTTAGAAAATCTACATGAGAAATTCGCAATCCACAAATCTAAAAGCAGGAAAATACAGTGGAATACATTAGGAAAACATACCTGCTAAAACGTGAAAAATTTGTATTTGCACAGTCTTTAGTTTTGAAAAATTACACAGGTCTGCAAACAAAATTTTTTTGGATGATGAAATGGTAAGTTCATCAGTAATTTTTGGCGCTCCGTCTGAAAATGACCTCTTGTTTTTTCCTTTACCTAAAATTGTTCCAGAAAATTTAGATTTTCCTCAAAACAGGCTTTTCCCAGGCAATTCAAATTATGCAATAAATGGGCATGTGCTGGAGACAGATCAAGGTCATTTTTGGACTCAGCATTCCAAGATACACAAGAAACCACGTATTCTATTTCTAAAAAATTGTCTTCACTGTGCCTGATGAGGTGATTCTAATCGGATGGCATAATCAGCCCATTTATCCCCATTTTAAGAATTATTTAAACAAATGAGGCACGTTTTAAAATGGATTTTGTTGAAATGCTGAGTCAGAAGATGATCTCAGTCTTTTCTCTTAACTGACTAATTTTTCGAAAAACCCAGATTTTCTTACAAAGGACATTTCTAGGATAAGTTCATTTTTTGGTCCTTTGATGTAAGACCAACCGAGGTCATTTTCAAACTCAAAACAAACAAATCAGTTTTAAATGGCGATAAATGAGCTGATTACACCATTTGACCAGAAAAACCTCCTTATCACGCAGAGCAAAGAAAATTTTATAGAAATGTGGTACAATGATCTCGGAATGTTGAGTACAAAAATGACCTTGATTTGTCTCTGGCAAACACCATTCCTCAGAAATTTTAATTTTCTATGGAAAACCCTGTATTAAGGATAGTTTCAATTCTCAGGGAAAATAGTGAATATAGAGAAAAAGATGAGGTAATTTTCGGACTCAGCGCTAAAAATTACATGAGAATCAAGTATCATATTATCAAAAGAATTTTTTTTAGCTGACAGGTGTAATTTTTCATAGCAAAATACGGAGTAAATGCACAGTTTTCACTGTAAGAGAAAAAAATCGGCTGAAGGACTGATTTACGGTTCACAAGGTACGTTTTTCTACAGTATTCTACTGAAGTTTCACGCTTTTACCTTTACAGGTTGCGAATATTTCATGCAGATTTTTCAAACCGCCCTATGACTGTCCAACTGATAGTGAAGCTGGAAAAACACGTTTCTTGGTTTGCAACTTTGCAAATTTTCTGTCATACTTCATGTTAAAAAAGACAAACTGTTAAATGCAAGACCAATCCACACAGGTCAGTCATTCCCGAAGACGAGTTTTGGTACTCTACTGCGCAGTGACGTAGTATTGAGTGTCAGCAACGTATTTCTTATGGGAGCACGTATTGTGACGTAGCATTGAGTACTGCCAGTTAGGGCCGGGCGGGGGAGTGGATTTCAAAAAAGCTGCGCAATGACTGACCTGTGTGGATTGGTCTTGGTTAAGTGGTATCTTTAAAATTTCTTGAATTTTTTTCAATGGCCCAAAAAAAAAATAATTAAAAAAAGGTGTTTTTAAAAAAACTTGCGTTGTTTGATTTGGTTTGAGAAAATGAGATCGGAGTGGATATTTTTAAACACTGAGATCATGATTCTCGTTTTGTAGCTTCACTTTTGAGGCACAGAATTTAATCATGATTTATGGGAGACAGAAGGACAAAACATTCAACTTTACAGGATTACAGAGAGGCATCAAACATGGTACGTACATGGGGGGGGGGGGGGGNGACAGGGGGGTTATGATTTTAGACTATACCCATATGAAATTGGACATCCATAATCTATGAAAGTTAAATTTTGTAGCTGGTTACCAGAAGCATTTTTTTGCTGACAGATGGTTCAGCTTGTAAGAAATCAGATTCAAATCACATAAGGTGTTATATTTTGTGCTTTTCTGTTAAATCTAGAGCACTTTATAACGTAATCAAAATAAAATTGAGACTAGGCAATCCATTCTAGTATTAAGGATTGAGGGGATAGAGAAAAGGAACAAAAGGACTAAATTTGACGAATGTACAAGGATTTGAGATTCCAGCAGCTGACATACATCTTCTGTGATAGTTAAAGTTTTCAACTGACAGCCAAAATCATTGCTTTGACGAGACAAAAGGGTTTGTTACTGAAGGACATTCACAGCACATGGGGCTTTACGGTTTATTTCTGTTCTTTTCTTTAAATTCTAAAACACATTGAAACACGTTTAAAATGCGGGGTAGGGATAAATATACAGGCAGCAGCTTGGCTTGTCAAAGTGCATCTCTTGCAGCTTGTTTTTTCATGGCTTGTGTAGAAAAGAGCATTTTTCAAGGATTTTGCCATAGGAATTGAAAAAAGAATTTGTACATATAATTCTAAAATATAGATTAGGAATTTGAATACCAAGATAGCAGAGGAAAAGTTATTAAACAATTCCTGGAGAATTCTCTGACACTTTTTTCTTTTCACGGGCAAAGATCAAGACAATAAGTTTGGAGAAGGATAGTGCTTCAAAAAATCATTTACACGAAGACAGCAAGGTGGGTCCTTAATTTAGGGCTCATTCCGAAAAGAAAAGAGAAATCATTCAAACAAGACAAAACCCATGCAGTTATTTTGAGGGGGAGTTATAATCAAGGAAATACAAGTCTTCTGTTGATAGGAAAGGACTCTACAACAAAACGGCCAAATCGGCCTAAACACGGAATCCTACGATTTTCTCAGGGATGAAAGAGGGTCTCCCCGGACACTCAAAACTGGTCATATTTTTTGCCTAACCCCCAGGGAAAAGGGGGGATGGGGGGGTCAAAGTCAAACACTTTAAAGTATCATGACTTCTCGACGGTTTGTTGTAGAAAGATGATCTTGGTGTCAAAATTTCCAGAAAAATGAGAGCTTTCAGAATATATGTATGAAATTAATACAATTTTAAATTTTGACCCACTTTTTGGGGAATTATACAAGGTCCCCCTTTTGTAAATTTTCGTTTTTCGATATTTTCGGTTGTTCGGTTCGCACGGAGCAAAACAAAAACAACTCTGAATGAAAGTAGAGGGCATAAGGTTTAAAACAAGCCCAAGTTCATCTTGGGAAAACGATTAGAAGCGGAGTTGTGAGTCTTCAAAATTGACGCGGCGCGCGGGAACCTTGTATGTTCCGAGTCTCAAGGTCACCTATGCCCCCCGGATTGCCTGCAGGTTGCAAGTTTTTGTGTTTTTATGCTTCTGTAGGTCGCTTTTAATGTAAATCATTCCATGAAAATAGAAAAATCTGAATTTTTTAATTTTACACAATGGGCCTTCAATGAGGTACATCACATTAACGGTAAAAAATTTTAACTGCTTTTCCAATTGCCCCCTCAAGAATAACTGAGACTTCTTTTGAAGCTCAAAGCTCGTCTGCTTCTACGAGAAACCATTTGGCTTTACCAAGTGAGTTCCGTCAAGCGCTGTAACTTATAGCTCAATTAAAAAATTTTAAAATTAGGGATACCCCAAAATTTGGCATCAATGGGTTATAATTCCTAAATGGTTTAGTTCTGTATGGATCATATGTATATTTGAACTGAGGGTCAATGGTTTTTTCTAAATTATAAGAGCAGAATCGTCATCGTCAGCAAATGTTTAATGAGGTATCATGGACATAATGGTTGATACTCTAAGCCCCCTCTCTCTCCTCCCGTAAAATTAAAAAATTCAGATTTTTCTATTTTCATGGAATGATTTACATTAAAAGCGACCTACAGAAGAATAAAAACACAAAAACTTGCAACCTGCAGGCAATACGGGGGGCGTAGGTGACCTTGAGACTCGGAACATACAAGGTTCCCGCGCGCCGCGTCAATTTTGAAGACTCACAACTCCGCTTCTAATCGTTTCCCCAAGATGAACTTGGGCTTGTTTTAAACCTTTTGCCCTCTATTTTCATTTAGAGTTGTTTTTGTTTTGCTCCGTGCAAACCGAACAACCGAAAATATCGAAAAACGAAAATTTACAAAAGGGGGACCTTGTATAATTCCCCAAAAAGTGGGTCAAAATTTAAAATTGTATTAATTTCATACATATATTCTGAAAGCTCTCATTTTTCTGGAAATTTTGACACCAAGATCATCTTTCTACGACAAACTGTCGAGAAGTTATGATACTTTAAAGTGTTTGACTTTGACCCCCCCCCCCATCCCTCCTTTTCCCTGGGGGTTAGGCAAAAAATATGACCAGTTTTGAGTGTCCGGGGAGACCCTCTTTCATCCCTGAGAAAATCGTAGGATTCCGTGTTAAGGCCGATTTGGCCGTTTTGTTGTAGGGTCCTTTTTAATGAAGAGTTCTTTGATCAATCGCACATGCTAAGAGGAAAAACAAAAATCCTGAACTCCGAATCAAATTGATGGAGAAAGCATGCGTCAGTTTTGAGAAAATAAGGTGTCAAACTTGGAATCACATCACATCAGACATTTCTATAATGCTGAAATTTTGTCGAGGAGAATACAATGAAATCAAAATGACAAACAGCTTAGATCACATTGAATGGGTTGGAAAAGCTTAATAAGGTCTAATACTGTACCATTATTTTGCCTGTCCAATCGAATTCAGCATCATCAGTGTAACCCCATCGAACATACAAATCGTGAAATAATTTTCGCAAATATTCGTAGTCTGGAGTTTCAAAAAAGTCTAATCTCCTTACATAACGAAGATAGGTTGCCATTTCATCTAAAAGAGAAAAATCAAGAACTTGATAAAAGCAGAGACAGGCAGAGTTTAACATTATAGAAGGGTTTCCATATACTGTTAATAAAATGAAAAGGAGGAGCACATACATTTTTAATTTCAGTACTTGTACATAAACTGTTCTGCATTAACCAGAGCTTTTCTGGTGGCCTTCACCCATCTTCAAGGCTGCTTTTAATTATGCTTTTGTTTACGGCTGCTTGAAAATGCTTGCAATTGTTTAGTAGTATTCCTGATGGCCCTAAAAATGGGTGCAGACCACCCGAAAAGCTTTAACTAATGAAAGACAGTAAATGTTGAAACACTGAATTAAAAAATATACAGCATAAAGGTTCTCCTCCTTTTCATTAACAGGTAATGAAATACCTGAATGAATAAATGAAACATCTATCCATGATAGATACGTTCACTGCCAAAGAGGTCATGATGAGCATAATTTTTGTTGATCACCCCGGGCCGAATGGTCATTTGGCCCTTTGTTTTGATTTTGAACGCTGCACTTTTATCGTCTCACTGTGCAGTAGAGGTGCTTTTGGCAGGCCCTCCAAGGAAGTAATTGTGGAGCACTGGTTACAAATGTAACCCTTAGGATGCACCAGTGTCACAGCATCATTGACGGACTTTGTAGTTTGAAGAACTCAAATCTTGCCATTCCTTTGAATGTTTTCCAAGCCCAATTGGAGTAATTTCCCACGAACACATTGACAGTGAATGAGGTAAGAAATAGAGAAGCTACTGTATTTAAAAATTCAAAAAAGATGTAGATTGTCTTCATTATTCAAGTGATTAATGCAAAAAGACATGTTGATGATTTTAACCTGTTGGATATTAATTATTTCTGACAGCACAAGCACAGTTAAATTAAGCACAAGCAAACAAAAATCAAGAGATGTTAAAATACTAATTTTAAATTATTGGCAATATGGTAACAGTTGACAAAAGAGACAATGTTCCTCAGGCCTCCTCATTTGTAAATTTAAAAATTATGGTAAGATATGTTTTTGAGTGGAAAATTTGAAAGAGTCAAAAGATACATTTTTACCTGGATGTCCTTCACATAGTGTTTCAATAGGCGTATTCTTCTTGGTATCACCAATCTTCTGATATCTTTCTTTCAACGTGTCTGCTTTCAACCCTTGCCAAGGAAGTGAACCTCTTAAAAAGTACATGAACATATGACCCAGAGCTTCTAGGTCATCCCGCCTACTTTGTTCTGTAAGTAAATAATAAAACATTAAATTAATGAAACGGCATGACCCTCATCTGATCTTCTACATGCTTCTGTTAGTAAACACTGAGTTTGTTGGAATGCAAACAAGTCCCCAATTTCATTTTCCAGATCAGCCTGTCTACATAATTAATGCTGGTGCTCTGATGTATCCGGTGATTTTCAATCTTTTGAGATTGAAAACATGGATGTATCTTAGTTTAGTAACCCCACTGACTTATTATTTAATTTTGGCTAAAATATGCAAAAATCAGTGACTTTCAGTGATTCGAAATATTTCTGGAGCTCATTCCCTCAGGTTGAAAATCTAAGTCTTCACCACTCATTATAGATTCCTTGAGAAAACCAAGAGAAAATTAAGTTATGATGCTAAAATGTAGTTATGATGATTGATACTGGTAATGTCAAAATTATAAAAAACATGAACTGAACAAAAATCAAGAAAATTTGAGGTTATTTAGTGTCCAACCAGATAATTATACAAAAATACCTTGAGAAAGTAATTAAAGTCCATAAAAAATATGTTTTACATGGGTTACACTACTCATGTAAACATTGACGATCTGTTGTGAAAAAATTGAAATATCCTAAACACTGATGCCAAGTCGACCGGCAACTCAGAGCTGTTAAGCAAATTTTCGTTCATCAACTGTTAACAAAATCTGTAAACGGTTGTCCTGTTGGTATGTATACTCATCAACCAATCAGAGCCTGGTGGCCTATTTACAGAACTGTTGATGGGTTTCGCACTCTCGATCAGAATCGACCACAGATTCCATAACATAGTCTGGAGCATATTGACGGAACCGTTAACTGTTGACGAAAATTAAATTACACTTAATTACGGGCAATTCGGCGGAAAAGGCTAGGTCACGCCCATTTATTCACAATCGGAGAACAAAAATTTGTTTTGATGACGAATTTTATGAACTGTCCACGGATTTCGTCAACAGTGAACGAACAAAAATTTCCTTAAACCCGGTGATCCAGACCACCCGGTCACTATCTCTATCCAGAGAACCACTGAAAATCGAGTTTTGAGGGCCAGGCCCACCAGAAGGGTGGGGATACTGAATCCATGGTACCGGGGCCCGGGCCTCGGACCCAGTATCCCCACTCTTGTGGCGGGCCTGGCCCTCAAAACTCGATTTTCAGTGGTTCTCTGGATAGAGATAGTGGACGGGTGGTCTGGATCACCCGATATGTAGTTTTAAGTCAATTGGTGCACCGATACCTTCATTTTAAAACATAAAAATGAAGACCAACTTTTCAGAGCAAAGCCAGAGAAATGAAATTAGAAGCTCTCAGAGCTGCCGATTTAAAAAAGTCAATCAGGATCTTTCTATCTAACAACTTGACACGTAAACCCAAATTACCATTCATAGAGAAAAATATGAAGCACAGTGAGGTAAATAATAATATGCATTGGTATAGACAACTGAATGACTTAACAAAGGATGTATCATTTAGAGAGAAAAATATGAAGCACAGTGAGGTGAATAATAATATGCATTGGTATAGACAACTGAATGACTTAACGAAGGATGTATCTACCATTCAACGAAAATATGATTTGTTGTCACGATGAAACTTCAACGAATTAGATTGCTTACCTTTTCCTAAGTGAGTATTTATGCTCATATACCTAGCTGTTCCAGTTAGACTTTTATGTTCTCGATACGGTATGTGTTTGTTTGTTTCTAAATCTATATATTCTTTAGCTAAGCCAAAATCTGAAATAGAAACATTACAAAGGTTAAAACAAAAATACTAAAAATAGAGAAATCATGGGAAAGTTTGTTACAAAAGACATGGGACTTAAACATAAAGGGGTTGTCCCAAAAGAGGGCACTACTGGCCCATCTGTGGATTTCGATTAGAGTTCGTATTTTCATAAAACTACATTCCCATAGTCATGTTCTTCAAATTTAAGCTTCCAAAGAAACTATTGGTTGGGGTGAAGGATGTCAAGGTGAGAATATTTAAACCCTCGAATCTCCAATACAGTTGCAGATTTGTGCGCCTAATTTAGACTGGATTACTCGAAAAATATCCCTCTTAGATATTGTGCTGAGAGACTTTCGAAAGCAGCATTAAAACAAAATAGGTACGAGGGTTGTGTCCAAAATAATTATGAAGAAAGGAAACTTATTCAATGACTGCAAAATTTGGCAACAAGGGGATTTTAGGAGCAAAACACTAGACACCTGACATCTCTTATTTGGCACTCCATTGATCGTGATAAACAAAAGGAAAAAATGTCTAAGTTTTTTTTTTTTTTTTTTTTGAAGGAATTTTATTTAAATATAACTAAACTACTACAAGTATTTCCTTGTATCTATCTACATAGTTTAAAACTAAAACTAAAAATATTGCGTTAATTTTACATGGTATTGTTAGATAATAGGATGATTATCTAAAAGAACAGGAATTGTAAAATTCTCTGTCTCCTTTTTTAGAGATATTAAAACATGAAGGTTTTTAGCTTAAATGTTTCACATTCTTCCTTTCACACTCTCATCCATACCTTACAGACTACTTACAAGGTAAATCTTGATGGGAGTTCAAAGGTCTCTCACCTTTTTATTATTTTCACTAATATTGTACTATCTAAGAAGTTTATAGCCTCTTCATTGACATGTTTTTTAAGACGACATATTCAGATCTCTTCGTTGTCTCAGCAGTTACTTGTCTAACCGCGGGTACCTTCAATTCTCTCCTTATGTCTTCGTTCCTTACGAACCATTGTTCTCCAATAATTTCTTGTAGAGTCTTCGACTGAAATCTTTCTACCTTATTTTTATTAGATTTGCTTGCAAAACCCTATATGTAGTTGTGAAGCATACTGCCATATAAGTTTTTATATTTGATTATGCAGCAAAATTTTGTTTTTCTTTGACAATTTTGATCTTTTGCCTAACAACCAATACATTTTTATATACTAAATGTCTAAGTGATGATCTTTTTTGGTTTAAATAGTACAAAGTGCCACAATTTTGCAAACAGAAAAAGAAGCTACTTTTACCTTAAATTTGCAAAAATGAACCATTTTTACCCTAGTGCGCACAGGCTTCACAGTATTAAAATACACAGTAATTAATACTGACCAAACAAATAACCTCAGATATTCAAAGTTTATGCCAAGAACCCGCATATTAAAGATGGTAACAATAAAATTCACTGAACCTAAAATTGAAGATACCCCCGTAATATGTAAAGAAAAGATTAATAAATCAACTGATAAACCTCTATGTGTCAACCTTACAGATAAGGGGGGATATGTTAAATATCTTCTTCTCATCTATTAATTTAATATATTTAAGTGCTGTTTTGTATGTACAGCACTTAAATATTACTAACTATATTATTTTATGTATATATTATTCTACCTCGCCTTCTCCATTGATAATGATTTAATATATATATTCTTCTACCTCTCATTCTCTATTGCTAATGATTGTTACTTATCTTCTTTTCATCTATTGATTTAATATATTTAAGGGCTGTTTTGTATGTACAGCACTTCATTTTAAATTATTTACTGATTGAAGTATTCGCGATGTGTCATGAAAAGTTTTCAGAGAAACATAAGAAAAACAAGGAGTTGATGGAGGAACTTTTGCAGTGAACTGCAACATTGAATAATCAGAGACCAGAATTTAACTTAAATCTGTGGTTAAATTTGGAGGGTGGTCAAAGTACCTATGAAATATTTTCCAATTTTTCCTACTGTCAAGCTATTTGACCAGGAGTTTGTGGTGACAAGAGGTAATAAAAAGCTACAATCGTGTTTATCCTCTTGTCAAATGTGACCAGCAGTTTGACCAGAGGTGATAGAACCAGTCCCAAGTGTAATGAATCAAAAAATATATTTTTAATTTACATATTTACCTATAATGTGAATAATTTTATCCTTTTTGGTGGTGCTTCGTCCAACAAGAAAATTTTCAGGTTTAATATCTCTGTAAATTAAATGTCGACTATGAACATATTCTATCCTATGTAACTGTAACAGACATAACGCATTGTTAATGATTGAACTAAACAAAAAAGTAGAAAAATACATAGAAAAATACAGAATATGAGAATTTAAAAGCAAGTTACTATAGCCCAAGTTAAAGAGCCTGATTAATATCGATTAAAGACACCATAGACAACTGAAATTGAAAGCTAAGCTATCGGATTTTTACTAGTGCGGATATCGAATTCATTATTTCCAAGGACTTTTCAATGGGTAGAAATTACGAAAAGGCATCATTCTACTTCTCCATCCAAAGTTATCTGACAGGGTTTCCATAATTTCTTTATTTTCCGATTTTCTAACTTTCCCCTGACTTCTTCTTTCCCCGACTCCAAAATTTTCGTTTTCCTGTTTGAAAACATGAAATGGCAAGTCAAAAATGCCGAGCAAACAGAAAATTCTGCTTGTGACTGAGATGAGATTTGTATTACACAATATTCAATCTCTGAGAGATTTGCATGAGGCTGATTTTTTCTTGGCTGCTGTGCGTGAAGTTACTGTTCCACACCACCCACCCACCAATAAATCTTCATCAACAGTAGCTTGCCACTTATCAACTTTGTATCTTAAATGAAAGAACCAATTGATTTACAAAGAACTTGTGGAGCATTTTGGACCGGAGAGAACAAAGGAATTTGAAAAAAGGAGATTTCAGGGCTTTTCAGAGATTTTGACAGTAACACAATAACACCATCAAACAAGAGAGATGCTAGTTTTAGTCATGAGAAGATTAATGAACAAAAACATTAAAAATAAACTGATATATGCTTTGTTTGATCAATGGAGAGACTTAATATGGCATAAAACAAATACGCATAGTTCTAATTTTGGTTTCTGTTCCTAGCTAATCCTGCCATTTCTTAATCACTTTCTATCAAGACATCCTATAATGATAAATTATTAATTAAACCTTAACAATCATCAGGTTATGACGGTGCAGTTGGAGAAGGTTTAAGGTCAGAGCTCATGATTGTTTGAAAAGAATTTGAAAGTTTTAAAAATTCATTATGAGTTCTCATTTAACTAAACCTATTTTCCTTTCAAAAAAAAATAAAGAAAATCATGAAAAGCCTGATATTATACAGGGTGGCCCAAACCTACCATACAGGGCCTGTTTCTCGGTTATATTAGGTCGGGCCAAGTCCAGGACTGCAGCACCGAATTGGGAATCAACCCCAAGGAATCCGAATTTAATAGTCCCAGAGCCCCTGTATTTCAAAAGTCGGGGTTTACATTAAAATTTTGAAGGATTGCATCGGAATCAGAAAGTACAGAAAATTTTAATGGCAAGCAACACCAAGAAATCCAAGGTGAGTGCATCCTAGTCCGAAATACTGACAATTAAAGGTATGGGGACACAGACCCCTTCAAGAAATGCATGTTTGCTACATTGATGTAGGGGCTCGGAAAAAAGAAGTTTTCAAGGGGAATCGCCCTCTAGGAATCCAAATTTGAGGGTCCTGTCATCCCCAGAGGCCTCTTTGGGGAGGTACATCAAGGACTCCACTCATTATAACAAATGCAGGGTCCTTGCAGCACACCACAAGAGAAGCCTTCAGGGACGACAGGATCCTCAAAGTCGGGTCATCTGGAACTATACAATCTGGTACAGGTGGCCTAAGCCACCCTCACAGTGGTCATGAAGCCAAAAAAAAAAAAAAATGCAACAAAAGTGTACCCAAAGACGGTTTGCAAGGGGTGAATCTATGGTGCGTGTGAACTTTAAATCGCGAAAAATTATAATTCTGACTAATCCTACTTTATTTATTTATTTATTTATTATACAAAACGGGCAAGTTGCCCAACTACAGAAGTAATTAACAAAAAAGAGCAAAACAGCTGAACAAATGATAGACTCTACTGACAAATAAAACAAAACAAACAAAAGTACAATACAATGAAAATAACTAATAGGGATCATAGTATTTCAAAACGTAGTCCTTGACCCTAGACTTAAACAGGTTCGTCTCCAGACTTGCATCAGCTAGCCCAGGCGACAGTAGGTTCCACCGCCTCTTTACTCTGACAACCATCGAGTGGAAACGGTAAGAAGTCCTAGCGGGGTTGTCAAATAAAGGATGGGTAACTCTCAGGGAGTAGTTGACCTCCCTCACCTGAAATAGCTGAGACAGATCTGGAGCCGAAATATGACCTCCAAGGACTCAGAACGCCAAAGCGAGGTCATAGGTATGATGCCTAGACTCCAACGTTGGGACGTTCAAAGCCTCAGAGATCTTACTGTAATCGTGTTCATATATGGACATGGGTCTATTTAACTTAAATGACAAAAAACGAAGCACATGGTGCTGGACGGATTCGATTTTATCCTACCCTTGGCGTGTATGAGGAGACCATATTGGAGATGCATACGTTAGAATTGGCATAACAATGGATTTATACAGGTAGAGGATTGTACCAACTCTGAAATGCACAGAAACTCTACGGATAAAGCCAAGAAGTCTATTTTCGAGATTTGGCGATAAGAAATTTTTATAAAGCCAAGATGCAAGTTTCCCAAGTTGTTTTTGATCGATTTTCTCCGCGTTTAGTACAACTGCTCTTCTGAAACATGATGATGATAGAATGAAAATGTTTTAAATAGACGTGGTTTAGATGTCCAGGAAGAAGAGAGCCACGTTTTGACTTTCGAATTTCCTGGAACGCACCCCCCCCCCCTCCAATAAGGCAGCCAAAATCGCCGCCGCATAGGAGTGTGTTAATATTTACGAAGAAAAAACGTCGAGGTAGGTACTGACTTTTTTGTTTTTTTGGTAGAATTCAAATTTTAAGTCAAAAGTCGACATCTAATGCGAGGAATGTCCAAAATCCAAGGTGGTAGCTGGAAAACATTTTGTCAGGCAGCACACGCTCTAATAGTCTCAACGGGTTGCGCGTGAGATGTCGTGCGATCCAGAAATGAGATCTTTCGCCTCATTAAGGTTCTAATTTTCAGATATTGACGTTTTTACTAATTTATGCAAACGAGCCTTTCTTCTTCTTTTTTTTAGTTTATTGACATAAAGGCAATATAAATGTCACTACTACCATACTAAACTTAGGTATCTATTGACTTATTGTTACCACTAGCTTAAAGTTTTAATAATAAGAAAAACGTGTAATAAGTATTTCTACTTATTATTAAAATTATCAGTATATAATACCGTAATTAATGCTTAAATAATAGATGAATTTTCAAACATGTAAAGAAGAAAAAAAGGAATGTATATCATGTATAAATGTAAATAAAAAATATCAATAAATCTTTAATAGTAAAAAGATAGATATCATTTTTAATTATATTTATTCCACGCGCCATTCCTTTTTGTCAATGCCGTCCATTCAAGCCGTGAACTGGTCTAAGTACAGCGATCTGTCACCTAGGCCAGTCCCAAAGCAATCAGTGCTAGCACCAACACACAGGTAGCTTGTGGAGCAAATTCACTCAAAGCGGGCGGGTAGATCGAAAATATTTCTTCTTCCCTTCAACCGATAATTGAGGAGCCTTTCTCCAAGTAGAATTTGGTACAGATAACTTTGTCTGCTTGAGTGGGCCTATTCCACAGGATTTTCTTCCTCATTATTATCCTGTAATAATGCATGCGAACTATGAAAAGACACCTCTCCCCCCCCCCCATTTATTTCCTTAATTTTGTCTACTGATTTTGTAGCTCTTGTCTTTCTTCTTAAACGGTACTCCAAACTGGATTGAATCCTGAGTAAAATGAAGTAATTGAAAATGAGAAGAGAAGAATGCCGATATTTCTAAGAAAGAATATTCTGTGGAATAGGTTTATTCAAGCGGACAAAGGTATCTGTACCAAATTCTGATTGCAGAAATGCTCCTGTGGCATAAATTAGTAAAAACGTCAATATTTGAAAATTAGAACCTTAATGAGGCGGAAGATCTCATTTCTGGATCGCACGACATCTCACGTGCAACCCGTTGAGACTATTAGAGCGTGTGCTGCCTGACAAAATGTTTTCCAGCTACCATCTTGGATTTTGGACATTCCTCGCATTAAATGTCGACTTTTGACTTAAAATTTGAATTCTCCTACCAAAAAAACAAAGGAGTCAATACCTCACTTGACGTTTTTTCTTCGTAAAGATTAATACACCCCTATGCGGCGGTGATTTTGGCTGCCTTATTGAAGGGAGGGGGGGTGCGTTCCAGGAAATTCGAAAGTCAAAACGTGGCTCTCTTCTTCCTGGACATTTAAACCATGTCTATTTAAAACATTTTCATTCTATCATCATTATGTTTCAGAAGAGCAGTTGTACTAAACGCGGAGAAAATCGATCAAAAACAACTTGGGAAACTTGCATCTTGGCTTTATAAAAATTTCTTATCGCCAAATCTCGAAAATAGACTTCTTGGCTTTCAATGGGCAAAATCTCGAAAATAGGATTAGTCAGAATTATAATTTTTCGCCATTCAAAGTTCACACGTACCATAGATTCACCCCTTGCAAACCGTTTTTGGGTACATTTTTGTCGCTTTTTTTTTTGGAGGNGGGGGGGGAGGGGGCTTCAAAACCACTGTGGCCTGTATTCCACTGAAAAAGCAAGCACTTAAGCTGACAAAAGCATAAAAAGCTACTGAGAAAAATAATTTCAAGAAAGAGAAACAGTAATAAAACTGTGACGAAAAACGGGAATACTTACAAGCTGGGTGGCAATCATTAGAACAGTCTTAAGTGAAAAACGCCGATTACAAAGATCAAAAAGATCTTCTAAACTAGGTCCTAAGAGTTCCATAACAAGAGCGTTGTACTTTCCACAAGGCCCAAAATAATAAACTTCTGGGATCCCATCTGTAAAATCACGAGGACGGGGGACAATAGCGAAGGAAAAGGAGAGGACGAAAGATCACAGGCGACAAAGGGAACAGAGGGGAATTGGAGAGAAGGAAAGGGAGGGAGAAGAAAAAAAAACAAATGATGAGTTTAGTCATTGCACTTAAGAAAAAGGAAACAACTATAACATGTTAAACCGATTGTTTTGATGGAGAGAGTGGAAGAGGACGGTATGAAATTATTATTTGTTTAATATGACTAGCAAATGCATTTTTTCCACAACAATTTGTCCTGATCCTCGACTGGCATGCACGATCGAGATCCTATTGGTCGAACGAGTGATGTGGAGGTGAAAAAAAGGTCGGATCCTGTGGTAAGCGGACAGCAGCAAACATAAGACACATCATGGGACAAGAGACGAATCTTTGTATAAATGGCAACATCATAACCCCCAAATGGGACTCCTGAAAATTGAAGGGTTCTGAATGTACAGAATATAGAGTTGTAATGTAACATGAGAGGGAGGAGGGCTGAAGTCCAAGCAGCATCACGCTACAAACAACCTAACTCAAGATGAAACCCTTTGTTTCATGGAGTCTGACTTGTTTCTTTTTTTTTCGTTTGTTCACATAGGCCTCACACATTTTTGAGACATACGATGGTCAAGAGATGTTACTGCAAGAATAGCTGACAAAATTAAACTGCATGACAGGGATTGATTTTCTGATGAGGGATTTATGAATCAAAAGGATGTAAGCAGGACCGAGGTACCCTGCGGGCAAACGGAGCAACTGCACCAGGTAGAGACAAAAGGGTGGCGCCCAAAGGACAACGGAAAAGGCAATGCGAAAAATTACAAACAGAGGGGAGGGGAGCAAAAAGAGGAGGGGAAAAGGGGGGAAGGTGGAAAGCTAACGAACGTTTAGGTAAAAACCGAAATGAGAGAATTTATGCGGGCACTGTTGTTTCCCATTTCAGCTGTTACTTATTCTATTACTTTCTCGCTTCCCTTGTAGAAAGAGAGCCATCCTAATTTATGAGAGCTTTACTGTTTAAAATGGAGAGAATACACCAAAGTGAAAACGGGAGTGAGAAATGAGAGAGGAGTAGAATTAACGGGAGCTGGGAGTGCTACATACGTTGGATCAGTGTAATGGACTCACAATCAGGGATGTAGCAAATCAGACTCCGCGCTCAAAACTCAAGGCCCCCTCATGAGCGTGTCCAGTTTCGGCACCAACAGCCCAATTAGACACAAAAATAATGGGAAATTATGGCACACCGCACTATGGTCACTTTCTGATGATCTAAAATCATTACGGCTTCCCATTTGAGAATTAATACATTCAAAGCATGGATTCCCAATGTTATTGATGCGCTGAATCCGAATTTGACCTCAGATGTGCTCGAAAAAATAAAATTCAAAAGTTATTACCATATTTACTCAAAAATCACAAACTCTCATGCAATAGGCTTGTTACGTGCTCTAACTGAATAGAGGCCATATGCACACTGCATACACATGTGCACTGCGTTCAAAACTTTGTTTCTGCAAACAGCGCACCTGGTGGCTTCTATATAAAGAAAAAAGTAGGAGGGCTAAGTTGAGGTGAAAATCTTGTCACAAGCCTCCGTCTCACGACGGTAATATTGTCAGTATGCTTCAGGCAGACAAAAGAAATAAAAAGTAGAAGGTCCATACATTCTAAAAATGTCAATTTTAAGTAGTTTAGATTCGGTTTTAAGCACACTACAGCCCTTTGAATGGCGGAGCCGCAGTTGCGTGACAGGGAGAGAGCTGAGGTTATCTGCCTTCTCCGCCTGCTAGGAAACAGAGGTTTAGTTCTATGTTGTTTTCCGAGTATATGTCTGACGCAGAGAGTTATTCTGCATCAAAAATAATTTACCTGAACTCTGTTGAATGATATGTGTACCGGCGTGACAGGAATAGTAGAAACAGCAGAGAACTATCCCACTACATTTAAAGTCTCTACCATTGGAATTTTATAGGCACTCAAAAAGAAGATACGAGAATCCCTGTAAAAGCGATAAAAACCCTCTTTTTTGACCCTGCTAGACTCTCTTCGGACCCTCAAAAATATCCCTTGATGAAATGATTCTTGCATCCTCTCAATCTCACATGAAAAGAGTATCCAGAATATAAGTCTCAAATTTAATGTGCTCGTCGCGTCCAATAAAAAAATAAAAATAAAATTGGATGGAAGTAATGTTACTGACCATGCTATCTGTCCCTCGCAGGAGAAAACGCTCCCTAAATTTTTACGGCCCGTTCCGTCGCATCTTTGCTTAGAACGATTTTAGCATCTAGAGTGCAAGTTGAATTCAAAATCGCCATTGTATCATGTCATTCATGTGATTGGTTAGCGATACAACCAACAAAAAAAAAAAACTACTCGTGACTATTAGATTAGCACGTTCTCCAAAATAAACCTATCCTACGATCATAGCATACAATAAACTGAATCACCACTACAAATTGAAACTTTTGGTAAATTGTATTTTTCATGGTACTTACCATGATATTTAAGCCGCACTAGGTTCAAGTATCACATAAACTTCTCAAGGGTGGAGGGGTAGGGGGGGGTCTAAGTTCTGCTCACAGTGTCTTACGGAGGGGGAGGGGATCAAGTCAAGTCTTCCGGGAGAATTACTTCTAGACAGGACCTCCGAGGTTAAAAAATCAACTTTACTAAGTATGATAAAATTTTGTGGGGGAATAGAAGAACTCTTTAATTTTATGAGATGAGTTCGCTTTTCATTTCAATTTCCTAGATTCGCAAGATTTTTCAATTTTTCTGAAGGCATCTTAGACCAGTGATTTTCAAGGTTATGTTTGGAGTGACTTTTTTTCACTACAAATTGCATCTTCAGGATTTAGAACCACATGAAGTTACAGTTAAGTTCCTCAACAATATCAAATAGCCTTCAAAGAGCAGAAAATTTCAAATATATGCAATATTTTTCCTCATTTTGTGAAAGCATGTGAAAATGTAACATCCGCAACAGAAAAGCTACTAAACTTGATGCCATTTGACACAGGAGACAGTTTAGCAGTTCATGTTTGGTGGACAATAGTACATTTTCTTCTTTGATACTCCAGCGGTATCAGAACGCATATGGATACTTCAGTTTTCATGTTATATAACATCGAAAAGTGTAACGTCTGTGACGCATAAGGCGGTAATGATAACTTGTTTGATAAGTTCCTAATATAAATTCAGGTGCACTGTAGCAGCCTTGTTATGTTTCACTTTATTTTTACTTATAAAATGTGTTGAATTTTAAAATTAATTTCGATAAAACGTTTCTTATTGTTTTCTTCAATATTTGATAAATTTCTCCTGGTGATGTGCGTTTAAATGGAAAATAATTATTGATCATAACTAATTTTAACCTTTCTCCGTGTTAACCATGCACAGTTATTGTGTCTGTCTTGCGGCTCTTGCTTTATCAGCCTTCCTTAATACACGCGCGGGGGCGTATATCGGGAATGCCGCACATTTCTGCTATCTATCGATGCCTACAAAAATCACTTTTTCGTGGTTTTTTCAACATGTTATATGAAATACTTTCGTAAGCAGTGAAAAACTCATCGGAAATTTTCTGAGCAGCGCACTTTGCCAATTTTGGATTTTTTGGTGATAGTGCAAGTTCAAATTTTTGGTACCGTCTGACTTCGATGGAAAAATTTTAAAATTTTGACCAACAGTGGCATCCACCACCCCCACTATTAAAGTTGGAACCTCACCCACTGTACCTACCAAGCGCGGCAGGAGGGGCTTCGGGATAGTGAAAATCAGATTCCTTTGGGTCAATTTTCCTTTCACTTTCGCCATCCTCCACTTCATTCGACCTAAAATAACTGATAAAATAGCCTTAAACAGGTGGTATGGAACACCCTGGATTTTTCTAAAAAGGTGCAAATTTATACTCATGACAAACGTAACATCTCTAAATTTTGCCATTCTGTTCATTTACACAAATAGTTTCTGCCTTTCATTTTTAAGTTGTATTTGAAAATTAAAAACTCGGCCCTACTATCACCTCAGATTTTTACTTCGGAAAAGTTTTTCACAGCTGTGCGTATTGAATTTAAGGTGAAATTTTTGTACCCTTGTGACAATTGGCTTTCCTACTTCATGCTATTACCTTTCAATTCAATTACTTCATAAACTGCGAGAGTTACAGCCTATTTTCGGTAAAAAGTTCTATGGCTGTAACAATCGCAACAAAACCTTGTAATATCCGCAACACCATAATAATGGCAATATCTCAACACAATCATACAGGGTGTCCCAAAAGTCCGTACCCCCCTCGTAACTTGTGAACGGTTAGAGATAGAAAAACATAAGATTGGGAATGTTTGTATCTTAAAGGGGCCATCTTTTAGAGGGGTCAAAGTTTTTGTCCCACCCTCAGGGGGGGGCGGAGGGCCCCTGACTTTTTTTTTCAAATGGTAACCCCTATCTTGTGATACATCATCAGAAAAAACATAAAAAACTGAGAATTTTGGCGCAAACCGCAGATCAATAACTTAATTTTTAACCGGGTTATGATAGGTCAAAGGTCAAATTAGACCCTTCTTCAAAAAATCATAACTCCGGCTCAAATTATCGTAAAGAAAAAAATAAAACGGGAAAATTCTCCAATTTGTAAGCATTTTTGCATAAAAATCACAGAAATTACTTCAAACTAATTCTAAGGGGGGCTTCGGACCCTCAAATACGTCAATTTAAAGGTCAAACGATTTTCCCACGATTTGGGCCAACTTCCCTTTACTTTGCATCAACATTATCTTGGTAAGTTCAAAATTAGCTCAACATTGCGTTTTCAAGTCCCTAAATTTTGGGCAAAGTTCAAGAAACAAAATTTAAGGTGATTCAATTCAACCGTTTAAAATTCGTTTCTTATTTATAAAAGCTTTGCCCGAAATTTGGGGACTTGAAAACGCAATGTTGAACTAATTTTGAACTTTCCAAGATAATAATGGGGCAAAG